ATTTATATCAAATGGCAGTTGTTTTGATTGTTATCATTAGCCCTTTAGCTGACTTCGGGCTTCACCGAGAGGAGGAATATCAAAGTGTGACAAATTCGAGAGGGGGGGGGGACAGAATAATGATTCACAGATGTAAGTGACAGACAGACGCAAAGGCAGAGAATAGGTAAGATGAGTATTGTGGCTTTAGTTGAATATGGAACACAGTGGGGTCATGGTAGTTTGTAGTTTGAAGTTAGAAGTCAACTGTCAGTTAATAGACCTTTTGCCGTATGAGTATACGTTGCCCAGGGTACACCACATGGAGGTAAGTCTGTCGCACACCCCAAATAAATGGGAATAAATTGATTTCTCGGATTATAATAATTAGAAATGGGAATTAAAAGCTTATTCAGTAAATATCTACAGCGGGCGCGAATGGAGTGAAGGTATCAGTCTCCTAACTAGAAAGCTGCCAATGAGATCAGGTAGAAGGGTTAAGTCTGAAGGGGTGGAGATTCACAATGTGGGGAGAGTCGACAAAGACGAAGATTTATAATTAGAAGGTACTGGTAGAGGTAAAGAATGTGGTTTATAAGTCGAATTAAACGTAAATAAACACTACGACCACAGTTATATCACTATTTCTTCTATTTTATCTAGCGTGAAGAACCACGCGGTAATTTCACTCTGGAGGATACTTGGCGTGCCATGGAGAAGTTAGTTGAAGCCGGACTTGTGCGAAATCTTGGCTTGTCCAACTTCAACCGATCACAAATCGATCGCATTTTCGAGGTGGCCATTATCAAACCCACTGTCCTACAAATTGAGGCTTCCATTGGCTTTCTCAACGAAAAGCTGATAAAATATGCTCACTCGATTGGACTCCAAGTCACTGGTTATGCTCCGTTTGGATCGCCTGGAACTTCATCGTAATTAATACTTTAGTTTTTTAGAAGACGAGCACTTAAAATCGGAATTTGTTTGGCGTTCGATGGTAATGGATAGTTAGCTACTAGTCTAACACTCTGGTTGTGTGTCCAAGTAACGAATGTTATGCTCTTGATGAACTTGTGTGTAGGTATTTGGGCGCAGGTTTCATCGACTGAGCTCGTTTGCGTATCTTGGATCTTCAAGGTGAATAAGTTCGCATTTGGTGAGGTTATCATAAGCCTTAATGTCATCACAGCTAAAAAATGCAGTGAAGCAAAAATTGATGAAAGTGATCTCAATTGAAATTGTTTAAAGCACTCGTTCTTTGTGATTTGTTCACTAATGTCTACTACAAGATGGGTGATCGAAAGTAAAAGCAACTCGGAATGCTTCTCCGTGGATGATGTAGGACATGTGCAGTCGAAGACAAGTGAGTGCTAAAGTGTTGACAGAACCAGTTACTCTGAGAAGTTTATGCTTATCTGCTGGGCAAGTCTGCATAAAACAGCGGTGAAATCGCTAACTCTAATTAAAGTTTCAATTTTCAAAATTTGGGGTAAATCTAAAGTTTCCTACACACGAAGCCGGTTTAGCAGCTTACTGAAAATGTGATGCAAGGGCTCGGTGAGTAGAAAGTGTCCTTTCCATAAGAAATTTATCCCATGCTTATTGGGTGATAGACGATATTTGAAGATGTTAAAATGGAAACTGTCTTCATGGATGCTTGTTGCCATGGCCATCATTTAACCGTCTCTCCGCAGACTTCTTGTCCCTTTTTCTTTATTTGATTAGATCCTATTGCTCTAATGGCGACACGGTGATCTAATAATGCTCAAATGAAGGAAGCCTGATATTCCGATATTTGGCTTAATAATTTTAAGTGCTTCAGTGGTCTGAAGGTTCGCAAGGGGAAATTGGCTTTAACCCTACTAATTTTCATGGTCTTAATGTTCTGATAATTGCGATCGAGTAATCATTCTTTTTATGTCATCAACTATTTTAGACATTCCAAATTGTTGCTGTCTAATTGGGCCACGTCTACTTTTCTCCTAGTTCTTATGCTTTATTTCATGCAAGTTGTCCTTGAACAGATAGGCTTTCACTTTTATGGTTTGGTCGTTCTAAGATTAGCTTTGCGCATTTATTCCCCTGGTACATTTTCTGATTTCGTCTGTATCGTCTCATTTTAGAGAATTTTCGAACCCGCTGCAGAATCCATGTATTGTGGATATCGCCAAGCGTCACAACAAGTCAGCCGGCCAAATTCTAATTCGACATGGCATTCAACGCGGATTAATTGTCATTCCAAAGAGCTCGAACCCAGAACGCATTCGGGAGAATATTGATGTGCGTTGTTATTAGCAAATTTGGAATGTGATATTTCACCTAAGTCCATGTAAGGACAAGCATTGATGGGTCATTGGATTGGATGATGGGAGACTGGGTGGTTAGTGGAAGGGGAGTTAATAGATAAAGCTGTATCTCAGCGATGAATATATGCTTATATTCATCGGGGGGAGGGGGAATAATGAAGATTAAAGAGTGATAACTCAGATCAGTTACCATGGTGATAAATTCACTTCTAACGGTGCTTATCACTGATGTTATACTTCGCATTTCAGCATCAACGCCTATAATTTTTCCAATTTTGGTCTTCAATTGGCTGTACTGGTTAATATAGGGCTTTGTAGTGCTGCAGTTTTTCACAACTTCTACACCAGATTACATTTTGTCTCTCCTCAAATTACTCATCTTAATGAGTCTTGAAAGGTTATGTGAGTGTAGAAATTGAAGTGAAACAAAATAAAAGCTATTTCCAATTTCTATTGAAGATTAATGGCCTATAGGCGTTATTTGAAGATTTATATTCTCTGTCCAGGTGGTCTTTGGGACCTGGAAATCGTTCTGATTGTGAAAGTAAATCCGAAGTCATATTCATTTTTCACCATTTCTTTGGCAAAAATATTTTGGGATATTTATATCAAATGGCAGGCGTCTTGATGGTTATCATTAGCCCTTTAGTTGACTTCAGGCCTCACAGAGGGAGAGGAATATCAAATCGAAAAAAGTCGAGAGGGGGGGGGGTGAACAGAAGAGTGTTTCAAAGATGTAAGAGACAAACACAAAGGTAGAAAAAAGGTGAGGTGAATACTGTGGAAATAGTCGAATATGGCATAGAGTGAGGTGATGGTAGTTTGAAGTGAGAAGTCAACTGCCAGTTAATAGACTTTTTTGCCGTATGAGAATACGTTGCCCAGGGTGCACCACGGGGAGGTAAGTCTATCGCACACCCCACATTTCGGGATATCATGTTGAATAAAAGTCAAATTGGTACATATATACTTTAAATTTGCAATTTATTCAACTTTCTTAATTATGCCTGAATGTTGCCTATGCTGTCTCTCTCTCCATAAAGGTGTTTGACTTCGAACTCTCCGAGGAGGAGATGTCAATGCTGAATAGAGCTGACCCTAACCAACGCCGACGATTTGAATTGAAAGCGTAAGTTTTGCCTCCATCATAAACGTGATGCTTTCAATCTTCAATTTACTTCGTTAGACACTCCTAGTGAAATTTGATGAAAGTGAAATTTTGATGCTAATTGGCTTTCATTTCAGGTGGTGCAAACTGCCGGAGTATCCCTTCCACGCGGAATATTAATCTAAAGTCTGGAACAGGGAATCGTGTCAGCCTCAACATAATGGTGTTGCTGTAATTATTAGAAAAACGCTTATTTTCTGTCAAGTTAAATTTTAAAATTGCCAATTTTCTTGGCCTATATAATGATTGATAAAGTGTGCTTCCTTTACACTTTTGATATTACTTTCATTTGTGGGGTTTGCTATTTAGTAAGAGACATTGAAATTTACTTTAAGGTAGGAGTAAAATCAGATGGGTTTCTAGGCAATATTTGGCATGAAAATGTTTCCTTCACTATGAATTTCAACTTGCTCTGTGTCTCTCTAACCCCAGGGCACTGCACTTTTTTAGAACATTTCGGTTACTACATTCATGGCATTCCAAATATTTTGTGTTTAGGGTTTCAAATGGCCACATTAAAAGTAGACGATTTGATTGGCGATCGTTCTCAAGGGGAATGGAACTAAAAATGTTCTCACATGACTTTTTTTTCTGCCTACTCACTGCCTGATGAACAAATGGGATCTGGGTCATTGTTGGCTGCCTCAGAGATGGCCTTGGTTCTCTCGATCCGTACTGAGGGGGAGTCATTGGAATGAAACTGTGACAGGAAAATGATTCCTTCATTATTAATTTCAACTTGCACTGGCTTTTTAACCTCAGGGTACTGTACTTCCTTGTGACACAGCATTCCAAATATATGTCATGTGTAGGAGTTGGCACGGCATATTAAAAGCAAGTGGCCTAATTGTTTATAGTTTTTTTATCGAACGGAAAAGGAACAAAAACTGTTCGCGCATTCTATTTTGCCTACCGGCTAGCTCAGTCGGTAGAGCACGAGACTCTTAATCTCGGGGTCGTGGGTTCGTGCCCCACGTTAGGCGCCTGTATCTCTTCGGAGGTACATATACTAAAATTGGAACGATACAGAGAAGATTAGCATGGCGCCTGCGCAAGGATGACACGCAAAATCGTGAAGCGTTCCATATTTTTTTGGGTGTGCGATAGACTTACCTCCACGTGGTGCACCCTGGGCTAAGTATACTCATACGGCAAAAAAGTCTATTAACTGGCAGTTGACTTCTCACTTCAAACTGCCATCACCCCATTGTATGTCATATTCTACCACTTCCACATTACTCATCCCACCTTTTTCTCCACCTTGTCTACCTTCGTCTTTGAAACATTTTTCTGTTTCTCTTTGATGCTCCTTCCCCTCTGTGAAGCCTGAAGTCAACTAAAGGGCTAATGATAACCATCAAAACGCTTGCCATTTAATATAAATAAATACTTTGATGGCGACATATTCATTGCAAATATGTATCGTCTTGGAAATGGATCAACAGGCAGTGTATTTTGTTCGCGGAAGCTCTTATGATGCACTACTAATATTTTTCATCATCTATTCTATTATCAATTGGCCCCAAAAGAACTTTGATTTCTCATTTCTAAGGTGGTATTGCTAGGAAAAACAAAGCAGGTATTGAAGCTCATGGATCCACCTAAGATGACCATGTGTGTGGGACACGTTATCGCTGTGTGCGTCATCGTATGCCTGCATGTCTGCTCGCCAGGATTGGGAGGTGCGGCCGTACAACTCTGTGTGCAGCGACCGTACTAACAGTGACCAATCATTAACTTCTGTTTAACCTAATCCCCCATCCTGATCATGAGTAGCTCCCCGCGTGTACACACTTTATCCGCAATGTGCGTCCTGAATAAACGTGCTCCTTGCTACACGTCTGTTTCCTTTCTTAGCTGTGCTATAGCTTAGCTGGTTCTGGGAGTCTAGCTAGATGTAGGAGGATCTGCCATAGAGATTTCTGAGTCAGTCAGGCTTTACTAGCGTAGCAATCCGCTACAAGTTCTAGTAAGACAATGCAGTGGTGGGGGTGGGGGACGGAGTGATTCATACAAGATCGCGAAATTCTTCTCAAAGCATGAAATGAAATATTGGGAAAACGTACATAAGTGTATGTTGAGAGAATGGAACGGAGAAGTGAAGTGGATATTTATTTAAGAGAAATCGTGTGGTTTTTACATCAGTGGATTGAAGACCGCAATGCATCTTGATATTTTCAATTGGGCTCACGAATGCCATATATATATATATATATATATATATTTATTTATTTATTTATTTATTTATTTATTTATTTCAAATGTCAGGCATTTTGATAGTTATCACTAGCCCTTTAGCTCACTTCTGGCTCCATAGAGAGGAGAAGAAACATCAAGGTGACAAAAAGACGAGAGGGGGACAGAATAATGATTAACAGATTTAAAGGAGACAGACAGATACAAAGGCAGAGAAAAGGTAAGATAAGTACTGTGGAAGTGGTCGAATATGACAAAGAGTCGGGTTATAGTAGTTTGATGTCAGAAGTCAACTGTCGATCAATAGACTTTTTGCCGTATAAGTATACATTACCCAGGGTGCACTACGTAAAGGTAAGTCTATCGCACACCCCGAATGCCAAATATAAAATAATGGGTTTTCTTGAAATTGAAATGTACTATTCCCTAACTAATTAGACCAAAATGCCTTGGAATTAGCGAGACAAACTACCATTCAATTTGCTTTAAGCAGAAGATAATGAAATAACTGTTGAAATATCAACTGTCGAATATTTCTATTTACTAGGAAACTAATCAACTTAGATTTCTATTTGAGAGTTGGATTCCCACTTCTCAAATTATTTTTCATTAT